CCCCCTGGAAGGTGAACAATGAATTTGTTCCTACACAATAGCAATGACACTGACCATGGATTATTTTTCAAAACATAGTAAAAGCAGTTAAAAAAAAATACCCACTCAGAGTAAATTGAACTCCTTTTAAATCTGAACTGAACTAAAAAGAAATTTTAAAAAATGACCTGATGTGACATATTACTTTTGTCCTCAATGATGCTTCTAAAATCTGTAAGATGAGCTCATTCAAAAAGCTTCACAGCCAAGACAAGATCTCCCCAAGGCAGCCAAAATGAAAAGATAAAACAACACTTCTTGTTATCAGAAATTAACAGATTATAGAACAATTTTTATAAACTGGACATCAAAGAGTTAAGCTAAGGCTAATGCATGGCTATGCTCCAGGGCCCTGCAGGCATCCCTTGGCACTGCTCAGGAGCTGTGGGGATGTTGTGTGTGAGACAGGAAGCAACCTTAGAGACAGGTGTATCTGATTAATGAGAGAGTGAGGGGAAATGCCAGTTATAGTTCCAAAACATACAGTAAATTATAACTAGTTCTTCTCTCCTCCAGAGGAAGGGGGAAGGGTGTCACCAACAGGAAACAAATTCCTGCCTTACACTGATTAGTGAAATAGAAGCATAGACTTAATAGATCACTGAAAATTCTTTATTAAAAAAATAAATTAGAATAGCCGAATCCTTGCTTAAGGGAGATTATTTCTTGATAGTTCAGGTACAAACTGAGTATTTTCAGAACATTCTTTCTGACATTACAGTTAATACTGCTTGCAAGAAAATTATCACAATTAGAATGAACAAAATAGTATACATTAAAACAAAGAAGCCAGGAGGAGATGCTTTCCTAACCATTCCTAAGTAAGAAGAATGAAGAGGAAAGATTAGTGGTATAAACACCAGAATGTCACATGAAACTCATGGATCACATATGGAAATTGATGGAAAAATAAACGCATCTACAAAAACTATCCACAGGGAGTATCTGGTGGCCTAGTGGCAGGAAGCTGCACTGCAATCCCAGAGGCGTGTGGTTCATATCCACCAGATGCTCTGCTGGAGAAGGAGGGGCTATCTCCTCTTATAACTGTCAGATCCAATTTGACAGTACAAACAAAATAAGTAAACAAATAAAATTTAAACAATTAAAAAATAAAAAAACTATCCACAATCATATGCAATTACATTGTGCTATTCTTTTCCACTTGGCCCTCTTAAAATCCTGGAGCTTTGGGATAAAAATAGTGTTAAATATGTGAACATAGATTAATTCACTTAATCTCCAGACACTCACTAGATTCCAGATCAGCCAATGACTTTACCTTGAAATCAAAAGATATAAAGGCTAAAAAATTTTAGTGGGTCAGCATATGAAGGTAAGCTGGGAACACTAGACACTTTTGATAATACTGATTATTTCCAGATATAAAATACGGCCTTACAATTTCAAACTGCAATGCAAAATGTTTTAAACAAGGGTTGATGTTGTTTCAGACACTATCAGTTCAGTGCAACTCAGAGTGACTACTCTATGAACAACAGCTCTGAACCCTATCATATCCTGTACCATCTGCATCATCTCTAACACACTTGAGCTGCAGTCACTGTATCAATCCATCTTGTTAAGGATCTTCCCCTTTTCTGCTAACCCTCCACCTCTCCTAACATGTCGATTTCAAAGAATATAGTCACCTAGCTACAAGCCCAAACTATATGAGCCAACCCCCTCCTCCAAGGAGAACTCTGGCAGCACATTTTCCAGATATATCTGTCTGTTCTTTTGGCAATCCATGGGATAGTCAATACTCATCAATTCTTATCTTGTCATCCTTATTAACTAAACATCTTTCTGAGACATATAGTAAGTGACTGAAAAGATGATGGCCTAAACTGAGTGCGCCTTAGTCTTCAAACTAACATCATTGCTCCTCAATGATCTGGAGAGGTCTCTGAAAGCAGACTTGCCCAGTTTACTATGTCTTCTGATGTCTTGACTGCTTGTATCAATGGTGTTGATTATGGATCCAAGTAAGATTATATTGTTGACAATTTTAAATCTTTTCTCCATGTATCATGATGTTACTTCTCAGTCCAGTGGTGAGGATATTTGTATTCTTGATGTTGAGAGGCAATCCTTATTGAAGGTTGTAGTTTTGGATTCTCTGCAGCAAGTGTTTCAAGTTCTCATTTTCAGCAAGTAAAGTTGTGTCATCTGCTTAATGCAGGTTGTTGTGTCTTCCTTCTATCCTGAGGCCACATTCGTCTTTATTTAGTCCAACTTATTTTTCATTATTTTTATTAATGTTTTTATCATTCTTACACTGGGTTTTATGCATGTATATGCTGTGAATGATTTGTCCAGTTGATTACTGAACATGTATGGAGTAAGGTTTTAACCCTGACATACACCCTTGCTGATTTAAGCTGTGAAGCATTCCCTTGCTCTGTTGGGATAATTGCTTCTCAGGTATAGGTGTAGTATGAGCAAAATGAAACATCTGATATTTCCATTTTTATCAGTGTTAGTCATAGTTTTATACGATCAATTCATTCAAATGCTTCCATTTAGTCAATAAATACAACTGATATTCTTTTAGTAATTCCTGCTTTCAGCCAGGATCCATCCAACTTCAGCAATTTAAACCCTGCTTGAAATTCTGGCAATCTAAATCCCACTATAAATAAAATAGTACCTCATCAAAATATCTAATTGCATGAGACTCTTTATATTTTCAATTTATTCAACTAACAAAATCACAAACATGCCCTTGGTAATTCTCCGCTTGATTCAATAGATTTCTTTGCCAAATTACCACCTCCAAATTATCATTTACCAACATACAGAAAACCAGAGTTTTCCCTGCAAAGTATACTGTCTCTCTTCTGATGGGCCCACAATTTACACTATAACTATTGATAGAATTAGAGTAATTGCTTTCAGTCCAAGTGTGTGTGTGTGTGTGTGTGTGTGTGTGTGTGTGTGTGTATTTAGATATAATTCATCCCTCCACTACACATACTTTTTTTAGTGTGTATGAAACACATTTTAAAGAAATATAGTAATTACAGTTTTGCTTTTAGTGATTGAGGTGTTTTGTGGTTTTGGTTGTTTTTTTTTAATAACTACTTAATTACATTGTGTTTGTACCACAGAGCTCCTTATTAAAGGTCACCATTGTTTAAATCTATAAAATATAAATAAATATATTGAAAAACCCCAAAATTTCCCTCTGTATGAGTATACAAGCAAAACAGCTCTAAAAACACTAAAGAAATTTAAGGGTTTTTTGGGGGTTTTTTTGTTTTGGTGTTAACTTCAATTCAAAACTCTACAAGTTATAATTAGTCTTTATCACTCATGACGTCCTGAAAAAAACCAAAACCAAACCAAAATGCACAAAGCAACAAATATGATATACCATTAAAAAGGATCTCAGCATTCTTTTATCACAGAGAAAAAATGCTAAAATCTGTAAGGATTATTAACTTACTATGGTATTACTTCAAAACTACCTAATGTCTGTTTGCAATTAAAAAGAAATAAAAACTCTAGATGTTTTATTCCTTTTCCAAAAAGTGTTTCACTCAATAACTTTTGCATAGATGCTTAAATAAACTCAATTTTTCCATTTCAAAGGCTGACTAAATCAAGGACATTAGAATCAAATAATGCTTTACAAATGTTTGATTTGTAGAAGAACAATGAACAAATATTTTAGATTAATTCACAAAATGTTTATTACAACATTGTTACTACTTTTAAGAGAACATTAAGAGCTCTGATGGTCTAGTCCCTAGTGTGCTGCACTGTTAACCATGAGGTTGGATGTCGAAAGCTGTTCTAATCCACCAGCTGCTCCACAGAAGAAAGACGAGTAGTTTCTGGCCTAATTTACAGCCTTGGATACTCAATAGAGACTCACTGAGTTAGAATCAATTCAACAGTAATCAGTTTGAGTTTGAACTACTAAAGTTAATGAAATCAATCATTTATACCTACCCCTTGAGCTCACTGTATAATCATTCTTTAACAACCATACTGGCAAAAATTTGCCTCTGTTTTTTAGTCATTGAATGGGAGAAAGATGAACCATCTCCCCAGTGTCATTTATGTCACTTACAGCGTTGGAAACGCAATGGAAGGTCAGTGGTGGGTAGAGTCCAAGGAAACAATAATGAGAGCCTGGTCATTAAGATACTTGAAAAAATATCTTTATCTTTCTATAATGAAAAATAATCCTTGATTTTAATCACAGAAATCCACTCTTTTTTCCCTCTTCATAACTTAGTAAAATGATCCTTTCTATTGATACCAGGATCTATCTAAACAGAATTTTTAAAAGCCGACCACCAGCCACTGCCCTTGAGTCCATTCCAACTCAGAGTGGTCCTTATAGCAACCCTCTATTTGATTTCTAGTCTAAAAATCTTTACTAGATGAAACTGCCCATCTTCTTGACAGTTTGTAGATTCAAATAGCAGTCTGAGATGCTCAGCACTAAACATTACCTAGACATCACCTGTATGAACCAGTATTTTCTACTAAATAGTAACTTACATAAACATAACAATTTTTGCAAAATAAGAGCCTTCATAATGTTTATGGATATGCAACCACCAAACTTTAAGAGATGAGAAACATCAAAAAGATCAGGAAAAATAATAAATACAACTTTTATGTGGCATTTATACATTCCTTCAGAGCTGTAGGCTTTAGTTCATAAATAACTAGAAGATATGTTATTGTATTTATTTGCTTAAGAATACTTTTAATTCTAGGTTGTTATCTTATATTGCCTCCTTATTTCTGGTATATTTATACCCAAATATAAATTACATGACTGCAATATTAAGCATTTAGTGAGTAGCTTAAATTTCTTCTAAGTATCGACTTATTTTCATCATTCAAAATATATTTTTTACTCAAAAATCTGATGACAAGAATATTTCAGATTAGACACTAATATATGCCCTTACTTATAAAATATAGGTAAGGCTTACCTCAGTCAAATGTGGGGTGGGGTTAAATCCACACCGATTACACACTTGATTTTTGCATTCAGTGCAAGTACTGAAGTTAGGAGGGTCCTTAGAGCCTATGTTGAGTTCAGTTTTGCAGAGAGGACAAAGGGAATCTGTCCTGGGAGTTTTCTCCAGTTTAGACGGAACAGCAACCTTCTGTGGTTCAGCAGTCGCAGGTTTACTATCCTTTGTAGGCGGTGGCCTTTTTTCGGTTTCTGTTCTTTTTACTGCTGGGACTTGTTCAACTTTGGGCTCTAATTTTTCAGTTGCTGAAGCTTTTGTTTCCTTTTTCACTGGTAGGACCTTTGCAGGCGCTGCTTGTGTCTGACCTGTGGGTTTGGGGGGCCCCTGAGAAGGAGGTGGTTGTGAAAGAGGAGGGGCTTGCTTTGTTGGGGCCCCTGTCCCACTCTGTGAATGAGATGCAGGCTGTCCTGCTGTAGAAATTAAATTTGATGCCTGGCTGAAGATGGATGCTCCAAACCCAAAGAGTTTCCCAGTGACACTTTCTTGAGGAGTTGTGGGCTGTGATTTCTGTGCATCAGTGATACTTCCCAGGTTCAGACTGAAACGTCTCGACTGTTCCTGAGGCTTTGGAGGCTGCTGAGGTGTGGGAGGAGTTTGGCCAGTGGTAGGTCGTGAACCAGTGGGTCCTGGGGACCCTTTTGGCGTGGGCTTGGCATCTGGCTTTGGACTCATCTTGGATTGTGCTTTCTTGGCATCTTCCTTCTTTTGAGTTGGATCAGCTTGTTTTTGTCCTTTACTCTCAGAACTAGGCCCGGGATGTGAGATAATTTTTGAATCTGATGCAGGCCGAGGTATGGTTTTAGAATCCAATGGGGTGACTCTTTCTCCTGTTGGTGGAAAACTCTGTGAAGGTTTGGCTGAGTCCGTTTTCAGAGGAGGGGCTGCTTTCTCTGGTGCTGGTGAAGGCTCTTTGGAGCTCTGAGCTTCAGGTTTTGCTGCTGCTGACAAAGAAGGTCCACTGTCTGTAGCCGGCTTTACCGCCTTGGGCTGCTTTGGTTTAGCATCAGCCACAGGAGCCTTGGCCTGCTCAGGGGCACCTGAAGGCTCTTTGGGAGGGGCTGCTTGGGCCGAGGGCTCCGTTACAGGAGGCTGCTTGGCCACGTGGGTGGGAGAACCATGGAGGGTTGGTTGTTTTACTAGTGGTGGGGGTTTTTTAGATTCAGGAGGCTTTGAGATGTCCTGTTTAGCTGCAGCATCCTTCTTTGGGGAAGACTGCTGTGATGGTGGAGCTGGTTTGCTCACGGCTGGAGCTGAAGCAACAGGGGCAGTCTTCGGTTTGGGTTTCGGTGATGGTGGCATTTGAGCCAGATCACCACCTAGAGCTCGCTGCATCTGACAGTTTAAACAGAGCCATTCTTTTATCTGAAAAGAAAATAAACAAGGGTCACTGAGAAAACAGCCATGTAAACACGAATAAACATCTCAGATAATGCATGGACCTGTTTGAAGTGATTTCTTTCATTACTCAAAGCATAAAATACAAACCAAATAATTTTACCTACTTTTCTATTAAAATATAAACAGTTTAATTATATTAAAATGTAATTAGTGAAACTCACAGACCAAAATACTTCATTTTCTGAGGAAAATAAAAAGTTAAAAATCAAGTTACATTTTTTTCCACTGTTAATGCTGCTATTACATGCCTTTGGTTTTCTCAAAGTTAGATTATTCCGAGAAACAGAAAATATTATCTAATAGAATATACAAGCTACAGCATGTTAGATTCAATAAGTCTATTTAATTATTTTCTCTATTGGTGACGCACATTAAGAGTTAGTTATACAGTACAGGTTAGGTTTGCCAAAGTATTAGTATTAGTACATAATTAATCGCTGAAGTTGCAGCATAATACTTTTCCTTCCTTACACAAATACACAAAAGAAAAAGAAAAAACAAAACTATTAACATTAACATTTTCCTGTTAACAAAATAAAGCAAAATAATGCCTTCATCTCAAAGTATCATAAATTGCATAGTTAGAATCACTGTTCATCAACTTTTAGAGCACGCTTGAAAGAAGCATACAAATAACAATTTTTCTCATATTATACTCATTGTGAAAGGAGATGTTTACATAGATGTATGTTGCTAGCATACATCAGAAGTTCATATACAAGCACCCACGTTTAACATTTAAGACGCTCTAGTAGCATAGTCTTTAGCATATGCTTCTAACCAAAAGACTTTGAGTCTCTGACAGTACAAATCTGTCAGTGGTTCTGCAGGAGAAAGACAGCCGGTCTCCTCCTGTTGAGAGTTACAGCTTCAGAAACCCAGCAGAGGGTTGTTATGAGTCAGAATCAACTCAATGGTGGTGACTTTTGGAACATTAAATTTTCACCATATACATGAATACTTATCATTAAAAACCTTAGCATTTCCAAAATAAAGCTTTCAAAACAGTAAGTCACACTATGATTCCATTATCTCCATACAAACTGTTATGAGGTGTCATCAAGTCAACTACAACTGATAGCAACCTTCTAAACAACAGAACAGAGCCTTGTCCTATCCTGCATCATCCTCGGGATTGTTACAATTACTGTTGTCAACCCATTGCATTAGTGACTTTCTCCAGTATGATGTATCTTTCCAAGGAGTGGTCACCCTGACAACATGCCCAAAGCATGTGAGACTAAGATTTACCTTTCTACTTTCCTTTCAAAATGCCTTCCTTAAACAGACTACATTGTCTCATGCTTTGTCCTTTTAAGGACATTTTCTTCTCTTGAATAAAAACCATACAAATGGTGTTTGATTTCTTAATGTTCTTGTTCACTACTAGAATATAGGTTAAGAGAATTTTCTATAGCTGTCAAATAAGAAATGTTTTTTCTCTTCTTCTTGTTGTTATAATACCCTTGAGTTGGAACTGACACATTGTTGACCCTCCCAAGGTTTTCAGAGGCAGTTAATTGCACAGGAGGAGATTGCCCATTCTTCCCCTGTGGAACAGCTGGTGGTCTCTAAACTTATGTCTTTGGGATTGTAGCACACCTTCTGGCCTCTAGGCCACCTTCGGATACTTAAAGAGTGTCTGGATACATACTTAGGAATCTCAGGAGAAATAATTTGGTCATAATGTTTATATCTGAGCATTAAATAATCTATTACAAAAAACAGCAGGATTTCCAAATCCCTGCTTAAACTGAAAAACAATAAATAAAAAAGTCATCCATTAATTAAGAAAATTTAAATGGACATCATGTATCCCAGCATTAACATCATGAACCACCTGCATTGTCCTATCTTTTACAATATACTTTGAGAGTGTAACAAATATTAATAGTGCCACTGCCTTCTTAGTCTTCCGAGTTATAAATCTTGTAATATTTTTACTGTGGTCTCAATTATGCCCCAAGCACTGTGTATATTTCTTGTAAAATTGAATTCTCCATTCAGTCTTGCACATTTCCAAAGCTTCTGACCCTCACTTGGCTCTTGTCATCTCTCAAACACTTTATACTGTCACCAAAAGTAACCTGTTTAAAACAAATAAACAGAAAAGGTTGCCTCTAACCATTTCTTCTCAAACTCAGATGCCTCACCACCATCTAAAAAATAAAGCTTTTTTTTTGCCCAGAAATAAAAAATTCATACTTCTGTTGGCATTCCTATGCTAACACATGATCCTGCTGTTTTCAGGTCTCTAGCTCACAGAACACTACAAGCAACAAACAGCAAGGGCTTCCTCTTAGTAGTCTATTTCTACCATCTAGCTGACCCTTTAAGCTTAATAGATGTTCATGATTTTTTTTTTCAAGCTGGTCTGAATTAAGCAAATTAATGACAAATATTTGACTGTACTCTTCAAGCTCCAGCTTTTGTGTGTTGACTCTGCCAATCCCCACTGTTTACCCAGAGTGTGCAACAGGCTTCTGCCTTCATTTTTTGGTTATATGCCATTCTCCTCAGAACTTTATTTTGCATCTCTGGCCACTGGCAATCAATCCTCATTGTAATTCAAACTGGAACGACTCTCCCTTATAATTATAGCACCTGCTATGCATAAATACGTTCTTCTCTGGAGATACTTACTGCCTTACACCCAAAAGGAAACATCTCTCTAAATCTAGGCAAAAATGAACCTGCATTCACTATTATCATTGCTTCAGATCTTAAGTTGCACTGCCAATCCCACATGTTGCCCAGAACTTTAATACAGTTGGTCCTCCTGGTTCTGCATGATTGGAATTAGATCTGCATAGCTATAGCCAGGGATGAGCATATTGGATCTTAACTCTTACTGCTTCCTCACATACCACAGATGTTACACAATATTAGAGGCCAAATATGATTCAAAGAACATTTTCACAAAGTTGTGAGAAACCACTTTCCAATCCTCCTGTCACACATAGAGCCTCCTCCATCACATTGCACCATAATCTCCTACGTCCACTAGATAAATGGAGAGGAGGTGGCAAATGCAAGAAATAGTACAGTACCAGCAGAGCCTACAACTATAATAATGCTTTTTTAAAAATTAGCTTCATTATCCAAGCATTAACATGAAAGCACCTTACTTTATTAGATAAATATGCCAAACTGCAACTTCCTAAACATTTATATATTGTCAGGTTTTTTCACTTATACTTTTATTTACAGGAGATACGTAATTAGAATCAAAGGTATAGAAAGACAATTTTTCACTCACACTTAACTGGTTCTACAGAAAAGCAAAGAAAACCTCTCACTCAGTCTTCTGTATTTTTTTTTAATTTATGTAATTAAACTGCTACATAGAAGAGAAAGGACATACACATTTTTTAATTGTTCTAAGGTCTTTATATGTTCTGATATGTTGCTGCTGTGTACCATCATTTCTGAATCGACGTTTACATAGCCTTATAGCAAGTTTTCAGAACCAGAATAAAGGTTCATCTTTTTCTGGCTGACCTGCTTCTGGATTCGAACCATGTGCCTTTGGGTTAGCAGGGCAACTCATAACTACTATAACTATCTCCCTTATTTAATCCAATCTCTTTGGCTTATGTTATTTATCAGAGCTATGGATTTAATGATAAAATTTCTTTGGTTAAAGACTTTGTTAGACAAACACATATAGCTTATTTAAATATTTCAAGAGGTAACAGTTGATTATTTTTTTCATCACATAGAAAGTTTCATAAAGTGGTGCTGCTTTCTACTATATGCATCAAAACTATCAATTGTGAACAAAATTATACTCTGAGTTTTAAGTGTCTTCAATTACAATTGAAGATAATTAATCTGATATATGTAAGAAATGAAGTGAGTTGTCAAATTTTGAGGTAACTAAATTAAAGGTATTTATGATCATTACTTATAATTTATCTATTTTGCTACAAAACAGAAAGTCCTTCTGGAAAAAAAATAAATTCTAGAAAGCATTATGACTATTACACACTCTTCAATTCACGCCAAACCAAAAATTTTAAACAGAATCAACATAAGATTCATAACAAAAATGATGGTCTATTAGGCAGCTGTAGTACTTGGAATAATGGAAGATGAAAAAGAAGAACCAGAATGCTAGGAACATTTACTTGCAAAACGAACTACCTTAATGGCTGAATATATTTCCTTTAACCATTCTTTCATCCTGTCTTATAAAATCTGTGGGATTGTTTTGTTTTGACTTACCACAACTTTTCTACAGGCTTTTATGGCACTTCATAATATAGTAATATTTCTACAAGCCATATCATCATAATACCATTTACTTTACTGAATCAGATTATCATTTTCTCTCATCTGAGTCATGACTCCCAATGCACTGTTCCTCTTCCTTTTACCCAAATGCTGTGCATTCATTATAGTCCATATTATTTCCTTTACCCCCATAGTCAATCATCAGATAAGTTCCATTTCTTCTTAACTATTACAACTATAGTTCAAACCACAACAGTCAGACTCATGTATTGTCTGACAGCATTTTTCAATTATTTACTCTCTTGTCACATAGACTTTTTAAAGGGAACAATCACATATAATAGTTATTCTCACATCTATGTTACAAACTAAGTAAATTTTAGAAATTATTTCACAATGAAGTGTTCTTTTGTTCTTCTTCTTCATCAAAATATTACTAATATTTGTTGAAAGCCCCATGTTATTTTGAAAGTCAAAGGGAAAAAGCATACCCAGACAAAAGACAACATTAGGAGACAAAAGACCTAAGAAAGATTATAAAGAATTATCAAGATTATAAAGATTATAGGGAAGATTATAAAGAATTATACAGAAGATTATAAGGAATATTATAAAGAAGACACGAAGCTAAGATTTGACAACAGATCATACTTTCTGCTGTTCAAGAGTTACCCAAACCACATGACCTCCTTTCTCAAAGGCAGTTACTGTGGAAGAGCATTTTGGCT